GTGGCCATTAATGTCATTATATAGGGTGACCCGGTTAGATCACATGGAAGCCTCAAACTAAAGGTAATTAAGCCAGGTCTTCATGTTCCATGTACTGTTTTCTCTGATATACTTGTCATATATAGGTATCTGGCTTCACAGCTAGCGCACTTTTGACAGGTCAAGACGAGGATGCAAGATTTGTGCACCAGTTACTGGGTGATATGGAAGCTACCTCAAAGAGGATAATTTGGTGTCTACACCCTAGTTATACCTGGTGGACTAACCTGCTGTACTATAAGATAAGGAACCTCTTTAATGTATGTAGTTATTTCTGTAGTTTGATTGGCTGCATATATATATAAACTAATAAACCCCCCCTAATGTGTAGAGGATCGATTTGTGAGATTATTGCAGAAATACAGTCCACTTATCATTATACAAATTGCTATCGAAGTATATAAATTAACGTAAATATAAATTCTATATAAATTCATATAAATTAAATAAATATAAATCTCACAGGTCGGTTCCCACATGGGAGTTAGACACCTGCAATTCCCAGCGCCGTATCCTGGGTAGGTAGGTGTGTGTGTGTGTGTGTGTGTGTGTGTGTGTGTGTGTGTGTGTGTGTGTGTGTGTGTGTGTGTGTGTGTGTGTGTATACTCCCCTATTTGTGTCTGCAGGATCGAGCATTGACTCTTGGATCCCGCCTTTCGAGCATTGGTTGTTTACAGCAATGACTCTGGTCCTATTTCCCTATCATACCTAGTTTTAAAATTATGAATAGTATTTGCTTCCACAACCTGTTCCTTAAGTGCATTCCATTTTTCCACTACTCTCACACTAAAAGAAAACTTCCTAACATCTCTGTGACTCATCTGAATTTCCAGCTTCCACCCATGTCCCCTCGTTCTGTTACTATTCCGTGTGAACATTTCGTCTATGTTAACTCTGTCAAATCCCCTAAGTATTTTATACGTTCCTATCATATCCCCCCTCCCTTCTCTTTTCTAGTGTCGTAAGGCTCAGTTCCTTCAGGCGCTCTTCATACCCCATCCTTCGTAACGCTGGGACGAGTCTTGTTGCAAATTTCTGAACCTTTTCCAGTTTCCTTTTGTGTTTCTTCATGATGAGGCGACATACTCTAAGACTGGCTTCACGTAGGCAGTGTAAAGCGCCCTAAATGCCTCCTTACTTAGGTTTCTGAATGATGTTCTAACTTTTGCCAGTGTGTGTGTGTGTGTGTGTGTGTGTGTGTGTGTGTGTGTGTGTGTGTGTGTGTGTGTGTGTGTGTGTGTGTGTGTGTGTGTGTGTGTGAAATATACAGTACAGTCCATTAGACAACCGACGGTTAGAAAGGCGAGGTCCGAGAGCTAACTGTTCGATCCTGCGAACTGTGAGCTCTTGGGCCCCGAGAGTAATAACTGTGGATAACCCATACGACTAGAAGACTAACTTGCTGTCTCACGTCGACAAACCACTCATTGTTTTCCCTCGTTTGGCCTTTACATAAGACTGGTCACATGAATTATACTCGGATATCACACTTGGCGGGGAAACTACAATATGAATTTCCCCACTTGTGGTTTAGTGGCTGGGAACTTTCCCTCCTGGGTCAAAACATGGACATCAGGATCGGGTTCGAGAAGGCCACAATGTAAACAGTTGACCCAGTCCCGTCCGCCTCTCGAGCACAATCCGTTAAAAAGCTCTTTTATCCGGATGATAGATGGCGTTCTTGTAGCACGCGTGTTTGTTTACAAGTAGCTTTTAATCCGGATGACTAAGGCAGCGTTTTTGTAGCCTGTTCGTTTGAGAGTAGTTTTTAATTTAGATAACTGAGATGGCCTCATTGTAGCGTGCATGTTCGTTTGAGAGTAGCTAATAATTCGGATAACCGAGATAACGTTCCTGTATCACATATGTTCGTTTGAGAGTAGCATATAATCCTGACGACTAAAGTGGCGTTCTTGAAGCACATACATTTACTAGAGAGAAGGACCTATCTTGAGATGATTTCGGGGCTTTTTAGTGTCCCCCGCGGCCCGGTCCTCGACCAGGCCTCCACCCCCAGGAAGCAGCCCGTGACAGCTGACTAACACCCAGGTACCTATTTTACTGCTAGGTAGCAGGGGCATAGGGTGAAAGAAACTCTGCCCATTGTTTCTCGCCGGCGCCTGAGATCGAACCCAGGACCACAAGTCCAGCGTGCTGTCCGCTCGGCCGACCGGCTCCGACGTAGCCCAAGCGGTCTACACAAAGCTGTGGTCGTGCAGCACAACGCAATCTTATTCGCAGCCGAAGAGAGACGTGTTGCTGTCATACCAAATTCAAATTTGTATTCAGGTAAGAGTACATACATAGATGAAGAGTTACAAAACATAATGTTGGATTTATAGATACATACAATACCTAAAGCCACTAATACGCATAGCGTTTTGGGCAAATGAATTATACTTACACGAATTATCATGTGAATTATCCCACATTCACTATACGTTGTTAAGGTTACCATGTAATGAAGAGTTATCAGTCTGACGAGTATTCACTATAATGTCAAGTAATATATTGTATATTCACCTAGTTGTGCTTGCGGGGGTTGAGCTCTGGCTCTTTGGTCCCGCCTCTCAACTGTGTGTTTAGAATTACTAGCCAGTAGTCAGGGCTTCGAGTCACCAAACGTTTACTCATCTTCCCTCAACGTGGCTGCCTTGTTTTCATTTATTAAACAGCTTATGAGCTTCGTAGCACTATACAATTGTTTATAACAAATTATAACACTGGACTGTGCAGTTCAAAGCTAGTCAGCTGTTTAAGAGAAGTAAATAAAGCCAGCAAGATGGAGGATTTAATTCATGGATTGAATTCAGGATGTACAGGTTTCGTACATCTTGACGAGTCCTGGCTGGCCCTCCTAGTGAGCTGCGATGGAGTTGATTGGACTCCAACAGGTGGTGAATATGAGCTCTGTGAACTCCAGCAGGTGTGTACTGTATGAACTCTGTGGGCTCCTGCAGGGGGTGTATGTGTGAAAGTGTGTATGTGTTATCACGTGTTAATTTCTTCGTGATATTACACACACACACAGACAATATACAGGCTTCGTGTCCCCGACATGAAGAATTATCATAACCGGATACCCCAGCAGACAAAACTGAAGCTGGTTCACCACAGATGCTTATCATAGGCGTCTCTAATACATATTCATTTTTAAACTTCATTTTGGATTACCGGTCATCCAGAGTGGCGTCCAGTTTTAAGTTTGAATTTGATTTTTTGGTTATCAAGGCGAGCAGCTAACACACATATCAGCCCATTCTCCGAATAGACAGTACGTTTTAATACTAAATGTAATAAGTACATTACTGAATATCGGCATAATACATAAATACACTTAATCGCCAGCATCGCACCAAAATATTGTGAATATTAGTTTACCTGAAAATCTATAGAAAACCACGACCACAGACGACCTTGGGAGTGTAGGACAAGCATGTAAATAACATTTATTGCTTCTTAATTACAATCAGTACTTAATTTACAGCTATATTGATATTACAATTTTATAAAACTAATAAAACAAAACTAAAATCTTTCAATAAATTATAAAGTAACTCAGGATATTTTCAAATTTTGTATAAAATCTCTATTGTTTAACAAAACTGAAAAAAAATATTTATATTTAAAATTTGTGTATAAAGATGAGAAACCCGGAGCTAACGTAGATTGTTGCTTTACTATATTAATAATTGAACACGAAAATTTAAACCAAAAATAGTTGGAGTTTATTAACACAAAATTAGGAGAATATATGGGGAGGTAAATGTAAGGGCACAATTAAGTGTATTTATTTACTATGCAGACAGTCAGGAATGTGCTTATGACATTTAATATTAAAACGTACTGTCTATTTGGAGGAAGGGTTGCACATGCATCTAGATTTATAGTTACATTTTGAAAATCAGTCAAGATCATCCATTAATTTTTTTATTAAATTTGGTTATGTATTTCAGCGAACTGAACGATGTTGTGAAGGGTGCCGTGAGCAGTGTTAACACAAAGTTATTTTCCGTCTTGAATGCATTTTGTATAAGTTGTTTTGTATTTAATACTGGGATACCGGCGGTCTTAGCAGCAAGCTAAGGATTACGATTATAAAGCCCTAGAGCAGGCAAGCAGGGGGTTGAAGACAGGGGCGAGGATGCAGAAAGCTAAGGACTGTACCAAACACTGAATTCTTATAAGGACCTCAGGACTGTCCACCACCACTCACACTTGCGCAATATAACTTAATAGGAAAACAAACACTACAGCAAGCCTATGCAACGCAGATTCGGTTCACATACAAAACAATTACAATAACCTTATCTGATTAGCCTATTCTATCTAGCCTATTTTAATATAGTGCTAAGAACATTTTGTTTTTGTTCTGAGAATGTTCTTTGCAGTTTGTTACTTCTGGGCGTCCTGCCTGTGGGAATAAGCAGCTGGCCTTATTGAATACATTAATATTATAGTTTTATACACTTTGCTAGTTACAGGATCTGAAAGTCTTGAGCTTTAAAGCTTTTAACATTGATGAATGCGGGGCGGGGTTTGGCCGCATCTTTAACGAGCCTGCTGCTCTGAGGACGGGCTGCCCCGGTATCCACAGGAAGGGGTGGAGGCTGTTTTAAATATTTTCCCAAACGGATTTTCCAGTAACAAACTTTATTTAACGTTATATCTAGCGTCGTTTCCTTTTCTTAAACTTACATTTAATGACCACGTCTAAATCCAAATATGATGCTTACCGCGCTTCCTCAGACATCCTTTGAATGAGTGTTATATGTTCTCACTATCAGGAACTTTCCGTACAATCACGAATTAATACGATATATAACAATAAAGACATAATTTACATGGTCAGATATCGTAAAATTATCTTCTCACATACACAACTCGCAATAACACAATCAAACTATAACCTGTTATTTCGCGAAATATAATTAATAGCAGTTAAAAAGAAATTCACTCACGTGTCAAAGCTGGAGAGAGCAGCGTGTACACCCTCCACCTACGGGGACTAGAGCACTACTGAGGTCATGGCGTGTTTCTCCCCGGACTGACGCCTGGTGATACTGATGTCAAATGACAATTTTTCTTGTGATCGAACGGTATACGTGATTCTTTTTCGATAAATTAGGCACTAACCTATTGTATTTTTTTATTTGTTAGCCAGTTGGCCTTTGAAGTTATATAAATGGGCACACTTAGAGCTTGATTACACAGCATTTATTAGTATACGTAAAGTGTTCTTAGGAAGCTTAATTTCAATCTAACTGAAAGTAAACTCAGCTGAATTATTCCTGCTTCCTGTTCACCATTATATTTACTTGAATGTGAACAAAATCCTAAAATTATAAATAATCGCAAGTGTTGAAGACCTCGCTTTATCAACACCCCTCGCTTGTTGCACGGTAAACGCGCGAGCCATAGATCACTGAGAACTCTAAATGACCCCACCAGTATAATAATTATAATTATATAAGTATAATTACCTCTCGGCGTCTTGTAATAAACTGACATCACTTTGTTTCTTTATATGAAGATCCCTGTGAGTCATTTGCCTCCCACTAACATATCCTCGGGGATTCAATTTCTTTCTTTATTATGCACCCTATACCCATCCCGTGGGCGGTGGTGTAAAGGATTACAGAGGCACATAATCGGTACAGGAACTGAACCCTCTAGTTCGTTTAGCTACGCAAATAACAATGTTTGACGCTAGTTACAAAATTATCAATGTTGTATACACATGTACACACCCTCATACATACATATACATATATCGGATTCATGATTACATCTCCTGCAATAACAAATAACATGATTCCTTCTCCTGTAATAACTGAATTATATATACATCTAGACACTCTTACCAACATTTCTTTTTAAAGAAATCATTCATTCGGCTAATGAAAAAAATAAAAAATATATCATTTAGCCTTGCAGGATAAACGTTACCTGACTTCACCTGAAGGACAGTATCATTTTAGTGGCCTCGATGGGGACAAGAAGCCATCGACTTGTCAAAGGTCCCTCTCACCCTACCCACCATTGTTCATGATGCTTGGGTTTTTTTTTCCCCACCTTCGACGAATTTTGAATTGGAAAAGTTTTTTACTCTTGGCATTTACGCTTCGGTGGATATAGGCGATTCCATTGGTCCATTACCCTGTGGGTTGAAAAAAATATATATTGTTGTCTGTCCTACACTGTGGATGGTTGATTGTCAGAATTCGGCTCAAAAATCACGCTCAGGAGTCAAATTTCCGACATTTCGGATATTTTAAAAACTGCAGGGGGGTTTGGGCAAAATATGACCCATCGCCTTTTTCAGTAATTGGCATATTTTCGGTATAAAAACTCGTAATTTGAAAATGAAAATAGGTGCAGAGAGTCAGAATTCGGCTCAAAAATCACGCTCAGGAGTCAAATTTCTGACATTTCAGATATTTTGAAAACTGCAGGGGGGTTTGGGCAAAATATGACCCATCGCCGTTTTCAGTAATTTGCATATTTTCGGTGTAAAAAGTCGTAATTTGAAAATGAAAATAGGTGCAGAGAGTCAGAATTCGGCTCAAAAATCACGCTCAGAAGTCAAATTTCCGACATTTCGGATATTTTAAAAACTGCAGGGGGGTTTGGGCAAAATATGACCCATCGCCGTTTTCAGTAATTGGCATATTTTCGGTATAAAAACTCGTAATTTGAAAATGAAAATAGGTGCAGAGAGTCAGAATTCGGCTCAAAAATCACGCTCAGGAGTCAAATTTCGGACATTTACGATATTTTGAAAACTGCAGGGTGGTTTGGGCAAAATATGACCCATCACCGTTTTCAGTAATTGGCATATTTTCGGTATAAAAGGTCGTAATTTGAAAATGAAAATAGGTGCAGTGAGTCAGAATTCGGCTCAAAAATCACGCTCAGGAGTCAAATTACTGACATTTCAGATATTTTGAAAACTGCAGGGGGGTTTGGGCAAAATATGACCCATCGCCGTTTTCAGTAATTTGCATATTTTCGGTGTAAAAAGTCGTAATTTGAAAATGAAAATAGGTGCAGAGAGTCAGAATTCGGCTCAAAAATCACGCTCAGAAGTCAAATTTCCGACATTTCAGATATTTTGAAAACTGCAGGGGGGTTTGGGCAAAATATGACCCATCGCCATTTTCAGTAATTTGCATATTTTCGGTGTAAAAAGTCGTAATTTGAAAATGAAAATAGGTGCAGAGAGTCAGAATTCGGCTCAAAAATCACGCTCAGAAGTCAAATTTCCGACATTTCAGATATTTTGAAAACTGCAGGGGGGTTTGGGCAAAATATGACCCATCGCCGTTTTCAGTAATTGGCATATTTTCGGTGTAAAAAATCGTAATTTGAAAATGAAAATAGGTGCAGAGAGTCAGAATTCGGCTCAAAAATCACACTCAGGAATCAAATTTCCGACACTTCAGATATACTGATTGACCTCGCTGAGTTTGTGTTGAAAATATACAGCTTGCCAATCAGTGATGCCCTGGTTGAACGGATATTTTCGAGAGTAACGTCTGTGAAAACTAACCTGAGGAATCTTGAATGAGAATGGGACATGAGCTTTTGACATCAGTCTTGAGAATCAAAACATATCTTGAAGAAAATGTAACTTGTTGCTCGTCATTTGAACCACTCATGTCAATGCTTAAATATGAGTCTGCAATATACAAGAACAAGGTTGTGGATGCAGATCAAGATCTTGGTAATCTTCAACTGTAAAGACGTGGAAGGACTTCACACCCATTAAGCTTTAAACAGTAAATATTGGTAAGTTATCCTATTATCATATTGGTTAAATATATATATGCAGAGATAATGTTAATAAAACAATTAAAATCGTTTAATGTACTCTATATATCATAATAGATTACTTTGAAACCCGTATCAGTCACTAAACAAAAAATTGGGCTACTCTTATTACAAATTCGCTACTTTTAGACCGTCAGCTCGCTACTTCTAGCAATTTGAATCTGGTAACCCTGGTTGAGCTTGTGTGTCATTCGCCCTTTTAAAGAGGTGGGGGCAGTATTTTCAAGGACCTGGGTTTGATATGTGGTGTAGTGGTAAGACACTCGCCTGGGGTTTAGCGAGCTCTTTGGCCTAAGTTCGCATCCGATTTACTGGGCGTCAATCCTTATCTGTAGCCTCTGTTTACCCAACAGTAAAATGTTGGTTGTTTAAACGATTTGGCGGGTCGTATTCCAGGGACTATTACGATTAAGGACTTGCCCGAAACGCTATGCGTGTTAGTGGCTGTACAAGAATGTAAGAACTCTTGTATAAATTAATAAATAAAATATTTCTCTCTACTATAGTGTAGAATCCAATTTTTATGCATTATAATGCACGTCTCTTCAACCTCATTTCACTATTACTATAATACAAATACCCAAATTAAGAAATGTAATAAGTTTCGTATAATTCTTTCTTATATATTTGTACATAATTAGAGGTTTTATTCCTCTTCATAATGGCATACATGATACTATACACCCGATATTGGTTCGAATACGAAGTTAAAGCCCGAGCCAGCAGGCGAACGCGAGAGGCGACCAGCTGGTGTAGTCCCATCACCTGCCGCCAGGAGGCTGCAACCCAAGGTACAGATTTCCTGAATTAATGCATTTTCCTACGTATTTTCGACATTACTCGCGACGAAAACATAAAGCGCCTGACACGGAACCTTACCTGTGATAGTTTGTCACTGAATGAGAGCCATGAAGTCTTCTGGGGGCGTATTGTCGTCTCTCCGGTGTGAAGCCGAAGTGCTTTGCTTATGGGGGGGAAATTAATACAATAATAATATTTATGTCTAATACTATTCCGATGACTTTGGTGACTTTGTAGGTATTGTATTTGTATTGTTTAGGAAAGATGAAGTAGTTAAATATTCTGGTGTAGAAGTTAATTGTAGCAGTGAGTTTTTTTTTTATGTACTATAAACTGGCTGACTGTTTACGACACGAATAAATTATTATATACTGTATGTATAAAGCTCTATGCATGCCATAAGTTAATTTGTGACTAATTTAAATTGTGAAGTTTTTGTGACGTTAGTTTGTATTAAATATGTATTTCGGCAGAACTATTACCACACCTTAGGTTAAATTTGATTACTTGCCGTTCTATTGTGTATTTTTACTAGCATTGTAATAGTCTATACAGAACCTGGCGGTGCCTTAGGTAATGTCGGTGTCGTGTGTACTCTTTCCCCCACATTCGTGTACTTTTGTACGTCCATTCCCAAAATATAGGTTACTTGCATTTTTTTGTATATACTATGTTTACTTGTTATAACTACGGAACTGACAAATGTTCTTGTTTGTAAAGCTGTTCACTTGAGACAGTTAAGCAAGTCCCAACTGTGTCTGGGTACCAGTGACAGGATGAACAACCCAGTGATTGATTGATTGATTGATGAAGATTAAGCTACCTAAAAGGTGGCACGGGCATGAATAGGCCGTAAGTGGTGGCCCTTTTGAGCCATTACCAGTATCAATAGCTGATACTGGAGATCTGTGGAGGTGCGACTGCACCCTGCGTGACGGGAGATGTCTCCCGTGCAACCCAGTGGGGTTTTCTTCCTACTGGGGGGGGGGGGAATGATGTACATGCTGCTATAGCAGTATATCCACTCACAGGATGAGTGGCCCTGCCCAATAAACTCGCCCCTCAGGGCAAAATTAAAATTAAAATGTTTATTAATGAATTAAAGCATAAAAGTAAGTCTTTTATATTATGATTTAGCATTTACTTGCACAATCGTTGTTGATAGAAATTAATTTCCACTCTTGCTATGCTTGATAAATATCCCAAGATGCATTGTAAAATGTGACATTGGGTTTCAGCAGCAAATAAAGTCCTTGTCCTGTTGAAAGCAAAATGCTCAAGATTTTTTCATATACTGTACCATTCGAAGTATTGTACTCTCAAGAATAGCTGTAAGAGATAAAAAATTCATATAGCAAGTAATATGATTGAAAAAGGCAGAAAGTACTGCCATCAATATAATATATCAAGATGAGTGTACCGTATTATATTTTTGCCATCAATTCTGTGTACTTGAGGGCTGTGTAAATAATACTTGAGAGAATTTTTACAGTGTAAATACTATGAAATCTGTTCTGAGCACAACTTTGTGAATGCACCATATCAACACCGTTATAGAGAATTTGTAATTTTGTTCTAAATTAATTTTGTTGGTTCTTGCATATATGTAGGAAATGTAGTCAGGAATGGCCATAGGACAAGTATTTAAAACATAAATTTCTGGTAGTAAAGTTTATTTAATAAATTACGATTTGCAGGATTTGTTTTAAATAATATTTTGTCCTCCAGATGGCGTTGTCAGTGATCAGAAGGGGAGTGTCCTCTGTGAGCGGGTTGACTGGGCGTGCTTTAGCTGCCCCATTGCCTGTGCTCCGTCCACAGGTAACTAATGTTATTAACTGTTAAGGCATGACCTATGCCCTAAAGCAGCATTCCTCAACCAGGGTTCCATGGAACGCTGCGGTAGGGCAGTAGGGCATGAGGAACTAGATCTCGCATCCTGGCAAGCACTAACTCGTAAACATTAAAAATGTGAGTACAGTATTGAAATTAAAAGCCATCCATTCACCTTATCTCCTACACAAAGCGGCATTCACAGGGAACCAGTACAATCGTAATCCAGCATATCATTCACAGTAGCAATCCACTACTTTATATGATGGTGTATTTTTGTATTTTGGTTTCCTTATATAGATCTTATATCCATAATGGTATTTGCAGGTAGCAACTATAGTAAGCAAGACTATGCGTGACAAGGACTACAAGCGCCCTGTGCCCTTTCCATATAAAAAAGATACATATGGGTTTTTTGCAGCAGTGTTTGATAAAACAACCTTCCGCTTCGATGAAAACTCAAAGATCATTATTGTAGATGGCCCAATTGCTGCAGGAAAGACTGAATTTGCTAAGGTATGTTATTCTTAATAGTTGAAGTAACTTTAAGGTCAGTTTTAGTACAGTGCAAAAGAAAATATAAAATTTATTTATTTTTAAATGCTAAAAAAGAAAATACCTTCCATGTGTCGATTTACAGGCTGTAATATAAAACACGTTTAAAGTACAGTATGTTACTTCTAGGTAACATACTTTAAATTTTAAGTATATGCTCCTTGGCCTTATAATGGCTTCCTTACACTGTACAGTATGTCCTGGTTTCGACTTTATAAGGGTCTAAAATGGGTCATAGCAGTGTCACTCATTTCAAATGTGGGTTGCGTTATTTGTGTTCAGTCTTGTTAGTTAACTTATTCTGTACATAATGAATTTTTTGTCTTTGTAAATTAACTCCTTGAAATTATGACATTCCTACATCTTTCTTGTCTTTGTAAAAGCATAGAGAAAGTCCCTCTAGGCTGTGTCATTTCTTATTCTATTACTGTATTAACATATTGTGGTTTTTAAGGCTATTGGACTTGTAATTGTTTTTTTAATTAAATTGAACATGCTGTATAGTGCAACCTTGATTTGGCAAACTGCAGTATATGGGACCACTCCAGTTCCATTTGTCTGAAGCTTCATTGCAACTTTAGATGTTCAGGAGGCATTTATATGATATAATTTTTTTTGTTATAAAACAAACAAAACTTTTATATACTGGTACAACCCATCCTCCTGAAATAATGACACTTTTTTGTAACTTTTTTGTATTGTGTAGTCGATCATATCAATGTGTAGTAATGGAACCCCAGTACGCCACTTTCTGGACTTTTTTTTTTTTTATAGAGGTCAGAAAAAATAACGCTGAAACTAAACTTAAATATTCCTAGGCCTAGTATAGCTCATACATGTACTGTACTCTATTAGTCCTCAGATAGCATGCATTAGGCCTAAGATGGTTTGTTTAGGTTTTATTAGCAACAAAAATATAAAAACTTTTGTGGTTTGTACAAATTCAGTACTACAAAAGTACTTTCTGGTAGTCCATCACAACATGCAACTTTTGACCTCATAGAGTAGTTACTATAAGTACTTTCATTTTAGGAAGTTTGGCTGTTATATGATACTATTAGCATTGTACAGGAAAATATATATATATAATATTTTTTATTTACTAAGAAAAGGGCATACTGTTCGTCTTGATTAAATCTGAGTCTCTCTTTGTAGTTATTAACACTGCCTCTTGTGTGACTGGGTTACTGAGGATGTTTAAGGGACTGTCAACAAACACCCAGCCGAGTAAAAAATTAATGGATGGAAGGTAGCGAGTAAATGGGGGAGGAAGCGAGTTAGACGGGAGGGAATGAATTGAGGAAGCGGAATGGAGTGAGTGGGGTGGGAGGGAGAAGCTTGGTGAGGGACGTAGAGAGCAAGGCAGGCAGTGAGTAAAGGAACATTCGAGGCATTTTAATTTGTTTTAGATACGCTGCAATAGACTATTGGGATACCTTCCTAGAATTGTCATTACAGTGGGTTTCTTCATTTGTAAGTTCTCTATTTAGCACTTTCAACACTTGGTGTGATTTTTAAGTGCCATAATTTTTTAATTATTTTTTTTAATTCTATTCAAGTTGAATAATTCTACAGGAAATAGCAGAGGAATTGGACATGTTCTATGTGCCTGAAGCCAACATGGACATGGTATACATCAACCCCTATGGTTACGACATGAGACAGCTGGATGACCGCCTTCCAGATACGGTTAAAAGCTTTGACGAGAAGAATTTTCACCAAAATCCCAAACACCGCAGCGTTGCTATTTTCCAGTTTGAAATGTTCCGCCTTCGCCTAAGCCAGTACATTGATGCCATTGCTCATGTACTGAGCACTGGTGAGCATAAATGCTGATTGAATTTTATTATTATACTTGTGTTTTAAAAATGATATTTTATAACAAATTTGATTTAAGTGAGTCAGTTTTTTTTTTTATATATAATTATTAACTCAAATTGGTTTTCAGATACTACATAATCCATCTGCTGGGTACCCAAGCTTTGTGCCATGATCTAATGTTTGTAGTGTATCTGTAGTTGGTTCTGATAAGTATTCCAGCAGTATTTCTGATATTGGGTGGGAGGTTGAGAAGGCAAGAACCTCTGAAGTTTATGCCATATGTTCTCCGAGTGTTCCCGTGACACCTCTACTGTTTACTGGGTCTATTTTGGCACGTCTTACCATGTCTTAATGCTCTAGTAGGCTGTGATTTTGTTGTGCATATTTGGCACCTGGCCCTTGAGTACCTAATGTGTATAGTAGACTGGTTCAAGCTTACAGAAATTAAAAAAAAAAAAACGCAAATGTCTCGCCCCTGGCAATTGTGAGGGTTGTTATAAAATCAATGTGTTTAGATTATCAGCTTGATTCATATATTTACTGGTGCTATGAGGCTATTTTAAGTATGCGATGAGGTAGTGTTTCCAAGTCACTTTTAAGGTAACAACTATTCTCGGGTTGATCAACCAAGACAGATTGTTGAAGGAGACATAATATTATTTCCACCTGTTGCCAAGCAGCTATCAGTTAATTAATTTTTTCTGCTCCAGCCCAATCCATTTGATGAAAGTTTGACAGCTACTTAGATTTGTTTTGCTTTCATACTAAACTGCATTACAAAATTTTCTCTCCAAAAGGTCAGGGTGTGGTGATGGACAGGAGTGTGTACAGCGATTTTGTCTTCGTGGAGGCCATGGCAAAGTTTGGCTATCTAAGCCCGGCTGGTAAGTTTAGTATGCTTCTCTCTTGAACAAATATTGAAAAGTGCTTGACATTTTTGTTAGCATTACAAATTGTATATCTTTAAATAACGCTTGTTGTTCCCCCCAGCTCAGAAGCTGTATTATGAATGCAAGAAGATGACTGTACCAGAGCTGATGCGACCCCATCTTGTGATATACTTGGATGTGCCAGTTGATGTTATTCAGCAGAGGATTAAGGAAAGAAACCTTCCTCATGAAATTAACTCAAAAGTGTATACACCAGAATTCCTCTCCTACATGGAGAATGTGTACAAGATGAAGTATTTGAGAGAAATGAGGTAAATAATGTCAAATGTGAAGTCATTAGATATCCTATCATTACTCCTGGCACTAATATTTTCTCCCAGTTATTTTCCAGCCACACCCAGTAGGTTACATTGCCTCTGACATTCTTTCAATCTGACAAAAATATAGTGAGGCCTATGTGTAGGGGGATATAAATCTACTTGACCAACCTTGAAGTAGTTTAGATAGTTACTGTCCTCAGTCAGGCCTCTGACTAGGCTTTCTGTTTGATGTTCTAATCAATCAGGCTGTTTAATGACACTGCATGCGGTCTTATGTACAAGTTGTAGTCTGGTTGATTAGGTACTCTTTTGAGGTGTTTACAGAGTTTTCTTTTGAACACCAAAAGGGGTCAGCTAGTTTTTAAGCTAGCTAAAGTTCTTAAGCTAAATTTATTTTATTTTAAAAGGGCAACTGTTGAAAAGTCATGGGCTCTTCATCTTTGTGGAATTGTCTATTAATACCTATTGCATCCATACTTTTCAATGGGGCTATTTTGTATATTCTTTCATTTTTCCTGGTCTCTTAAGGAATTATTTCAATGTGCAAATTTGGAGCCAGTCCCTCTAATATTTTTCAAGTATAAATTATTATGTATCTCAAGGTGTACAGGGAGAGAGATTTTAAGCAATCCTAACAATTTAGGATTGGTAACTTTATCCAGTTTTAAATGGAACTGTTAATGTGCAATATTTATTCCGCCTCAGATAGCACTAGTGACCTAAAAAGTACCATGATTTATTTGGCATCTCCTGTTTGAAAGGTTATTATACAGCGTGTAATTCAGTGTATTTTTCTTTTGTAACAGCCCAGAGCCCAACCACTTGGGCTGGAAGGTAGTGCAACGGTCTCACTTCATGCAGGTCGGCGTTCAATCCCCGACTGTCTAAGTTGTTGGGCACCATTCCTTTCCCCCGTCCTATCCCTTATCCTTATCCTGACCCCTTCCCAGTGTTGTCTAGTCATAATGGGTTGGCACTTTCTCCTGACAGTTTCCTTCCCCCTTTCTTTTGTAACAGCTACTTATTGTGTTCTTTAAAAGTAAGGTCATCTGACATGATTACTTGCTGCACCTTTTCAGTTACAAAGCATCTTCTATCTATAGTATGGGTTGATTGTGTTTTATGTGCGATATTTGTTCTGATGTCTTTGTTTTTATCATAAGGCAAGGGCTGGAGCCTCGTTGAACATGTTTTTTTTTTTTTAGCCCACTGAAAGAACTGGTTTAAAGAAATATTGGATGTTAGAGATATTTTTTTTTTTAATTGTGATGAAAAGGGTGCCACACAAAGTTAGGCAAAATAGGAGGTTAAACTTTATTCATTGTATTCTATATATATTTTGAAATAACTTTGTTTATAAAAATTTGGTTTGAATTGTTATTATTTCATCTACGATTTCGAGGAGTAAAATGGTAAAAGGGCATAAATCCTCTCAGGTTATCATTTGGCTGCTTATATCCCTACAAAATCCATATTCTTTGAATCGATGTATGATTATCAATATCTGGTATCATTGCTATGCAGATAGTATATCTCTGTTGTCCTTAATTATAGGTGGAAGTTAATGGATTATTAAGACACGAGTGACTTCTTGGTACTTTTGAATGGCCTTAGAGTTATCAATGATTGCTAAGGAGAATTACCAATATTGAATAATGAGGGGTAATTATGTGACAATGCGTTACACAGGGGTGATGTCGGCAACATAAAAGATAATTGTTTACTCATTATTAAGCTTAAGGGCGGATAGGTAATTTAGTGGAGACTTTCCCATTTCCCATGTATGCATACTTTGACAAGTATATATATGGTCAATTTTATCCTTTTCAAGTACTTTACAGTAATGTTTGATATATCATCCCATTGTAAGTCCTTAATGGAAATGAAAGCTGAAATAATGAATTCCAAAGTAAAAAAATTACTATAAACTAGAGTGAAGAAAATTCTAAATACAGAGGTCCCTGCTCCTCAGGTGGTTTGCTTTTCTTAACTAGATAAAATTGAATAATAGAATACTCTGCATAGACATTAAAGTAAAATCAGATTAATCAAGTTTGTCAAGAATTGTAGGAATATGACCAAAAATTAAGAGCTTTCAAGAAAAAACGAATTGATAATTGGTCAAAGCAGGAACTTGGGGAGACGGGTGTTACTATTGAACCCATCCACTCAGACTGGTGGGTAGAACGAAGACCCTACTTTGGGCAAGGTTGGCACTCAATTTCCAATGGTTCAATTGTTTGGGCAAAGGGGCCTGATAGCTGAGTGGACAGCGCTCGGGATTCGTAGTCCTGAGGTTCTGGGTTCGATCCCCGGTGGAGGCAGAAACAAATGGGCAGAGTATCTTTCACCCTGATGTAACTGTTCACCTAGCAGTAAATAGGTACCTGGGAGTTAGACAGCTGCTACGGGCTGCTTCCTGGGGCTGTGTAACAAAAAAGGAGGCCTGGTCGAGGACCGGGCCGCGGGGACGCTAAGCTTCGAAATCATCTCAAGATATCCTCAAGATAACCGTCTTGCCAAAGCTCCATGCCTACATACCCCCTTCCAAATGCTATATAGCTATACTGGCTTGATGCTTTCTCATTATAACACTCTTATCTTACAAAGTTCTGATGAGCTTTCCTTCCTGTGGCAAATGCTGTGTCTCAAAAGCTTAGTATTTTCTTTTTGTATATTTTGTGTTACAGTTGTATACAATAATTTGGTATCTATAATTGGCCATATATTCCTAGGGAAGGCTATAATGTTCCGTGACAGTATGGAAGTTTTGAGCCACTTTCATATGTGGCCTAGGAGAATTTAGTATTAAAATGAGATGGCTCAAGGTACTCGTAAGGTAAGATAATTATCAGGAGAAAGTGTGAAGCCAGTATGACTATATTGGTTCAAAACTCATTTTGTTTTTGTTGACTAGGGGGGCCAACAGCTGTGCTAGGATTGGAGGGACCCATTTTATTTGTATGTAATGCATAATTTTATCAGGTTTGTTTTACAAGACGGCTAAAGCTGAAAAGAAGATTAATTAAAATTTTTTGCTCAGTGTTCATTCAGAACTGTTGCTGTATGACTGGTCAGCAAAGGGGGAGCCTGAGGTGGTTGTAGAAGACATTGAGCGTATTAACTTTGATTTCGACAAGAATGATCCAAAGATGGCCGACTGGAGGTGTGGCGATGAGTGGGATTGGTGCCAAAAACGTATGATGTAAGTATGATGTGGGGAAAAAAGTTTTGCATCTGCAGATATTGAGAAATATATTAAAAGAATCAGCATCCAACTTCACTGGCTCAGGGGTATTATTCAGATATTAACATTCTTCACTTAAGCTTGTTTAGAACAGAACAATGTGAGTAGCCTTCAGAATCCAGACTAATTAGTTTGACCTGGTCTGGGTTGGGGAGGAGTTTGTGATATTTTGTCACTTTTTGTCAATTACACGAGTTGAGATTTTTCTTACATGTGATATACTTTATCCTTTTCCAGATTTATATACAAATTTATTTATTTTTTAATTGGAATAGTTAATAATATACCATAAACACCATAAATACAAAAACAAACAGTTTTTACTTACTGAAAATTGTCCTTAATCTGGCCAACAACAGTACTTTTTATTATGGGCAAACATGTATTTCCTCATGTTGTTGTACCTCTCGCTTACCAGGCCTAACTTGCTAATGTAGCTACCAGACATCTCTTCTGCTCTCAAATGTTTAATTACTGTACCTGAAGAAAATGGACAAAGTTTGTTGAGTAATGCAACGTAACTCCAAGCTTGCGCAGAGGGGAAAATCACATTTTACCCTTACAAAAATCACACAGGCCAGTTACTATTGTTCCGTGTACAGTCGCACGGACAGTACATCCTACTGTACAGTACAAGTACTGTACAGTAGGATGAAAAATTTGACAAATGTATTTGTGTTGGTAGTTTTTAGTACTAAATGTATAGGAATAGCAAAAATAAAATTGACTAGAAATTACGGCTGAGGCAGTGTGGATTGTTGCTGATTTTTAGATATATATCCTAGTCCTTCCAATTTTGGGAGACCTATTTCCTGTAGATTTTTTTTCCATTAGTGTATTTGAAGATTCAGATTTTCGAGTAGTTAATGTAGTTAATTTCTGTTGTAGCTGGTGTCCATCTGGGCATATGGGAACAGTCTACCCATGCAGGCTATGGGTAGACTGCAGCATTTAACAGTTTGCAGATGCTACTTCATTTGATGTCAAATCATTAGTACTCTTGGATGAATGATGTCAATAAATTATTGGGATTTTTTCCTGCCCCACTTTGTATCCAAATCTTATCATATTAGACCCAAAGCCTGTATGTATTTATGTTGTCTGGAGCATTCACACACACACAGATTCTATAGATTACCTGGAGAGTAACATTCGGTTTCCAAATTGTAATATACTGTATATGTATAGTAGAAAATAGCAAGCTTTGAGCAGTAGTTTTTTTTAAATATTCTTGCTTAGAAATGCTAAAGTAGAATGGAATTTATGGAGCCTATTCTAGTGACCAATGGTAAGATTATATTGAATTAAGGTGTTTTAGGAAACTTAGTGTTAACCCTTAAACTACTCCAATAGCTATCTGTGATTACTTCCTGTGCTCAAAATGCCATATTTATTTTCGTTACTTTTGTAAACTATTTTTTGTTGTGAGTATCACAACAATACTGATAGAACAAGACAGTCCTCGTGGTGCAGCGGTAACACACCCTGCGTGCAATTTGGCCTAAGTTCGTATCCAAGCCGGGGAGGATTGACTATAGGTACTAATCCTTAATTGTATGCCTCTATTCGGCCAGCACGTCTTTCAATTATCTGAGACATTTAAGGGTTAAGGATTTTATAGCAGTTTATTTTATACTACTATGTTTGTACTGTTGCTAATAGAATATTTCATGACCAATACAGGTATACAAAGAGGAAGAGGTGGATTATGCATTGGATGAATGTGCCGCCCCTTGATGTTCCTGAAGTAATGGTGGCCGCGGAGGACGTCAAGACGTTTAAAGATGTGTGGCACTCTGTAAGTCTTGTTATGTTTGTGTGGCAATAATATAGATGTATTGTTTCTCTGTTTGTTATGCTTCTTGATTTTTTTTTTTACAGAAAGATGATGTAGCTTTGATTTACATTTTAATGAAAATTATATAAGTGGAGCTTTATTAAGATTTGTGTGTAGAGTGTTCCCTCTCAAAGTGAATGATTAAGTCTGACCTAACGTAGTAGGTTAGGTGGGCATTATAGAGGCTGGGGATTGGGTTGATAACCCATCTTCTCTAAATATTTTCATAACGAAGGTAAAAATGGCCTTGGATCTGAGGCCTAAACCTGCTCAGGCCCCCAGAAAGCAAAGGCAGGCTTATATGACTATATTGTGAGAGGGATAATTTGCAGTAGAAATAGTTGGAACTAGGAACTGAGTTTTTAAAGAAGGAAAGATTGGAAAAAAGGAAAGAAAGGAAAAAGAAGGAAAGATTGATGTGAGGTTAGACACCACCTTGGTTTTCTGGGGTGTGTAAATTGATACTTGTGCTGAAGGATGTGTGTGTACAGTTATGTCCATACTGTCGATAATGTGTGTGCCTGAGGTGAATAAGGGTATGGATCGATTCCGTCATATAACCTCAATATTTTTTGTATCTTCCACAGGCTCCTGGGATGAAGTATGCTGAGGGCTACAATGCAGATATGGGAGATCAGTTCATTCTTACCAAGTTCTAAATCTAAATGACGGCCATCAAATTAATTTCATATGATGCATTACTTCAAATACTTAGTGGAAAGCATTAATTTATAAAATTATGACAGTATTGTTAGCAATGATGGCTTTTGTAATTGAACAGCAAGATTTAATGTTACAACATTTTCGATGATTTGTTGTAAGCATGAATGTCTCTCATGATGTAATATATTGTACAGATGGAAAATATAATGTTTAATTATTTGTGACATGCTCTTTTTCCTTATTTAAAGCACATTGAGTGGAAATTTAATCTACAATTTTTTTTTTTTTTTTAAGCGACGGTTGCTTTCTAAATTTGTATGATAACTTGTGCAGTAGTCAATGCAGTTGGCCTAGGCTAACAGGCTTCATGTCCCTGACAATGGGAATTATACAATTAAAGCTTACACTTGGAAATTCCTGCACATTTGTCAAATAACTCTGTAATGTAAAATATTTAATTTCTTTACATACAGTACATCATCTATTTCAATGTAATGCTGCATTATGTATTTATCCTTTAAGGTAGAACACAGTCTTACCACATTTAATAATTATATCCCATACTTTTTCTAGCACTCCTTACAAAAAAAAAAAACAAATTAGAATATTTTAATACTTAAATTGTATTACTTTTTGCCATCAATACTGAATAATTAGGAAAGCAAATTGATTCACGGACTTGTCTTTCCATCCCATTTGACTTTGGCTCGTGCTCTGCTCATTCGTGGTTTTATATGCATGTACTTGGGACATATTGCAGTTCCTCCCTAGGTCAGCCACTGACCTTCCCCAAGGTGGAATCTACAAAAGGTGCCTCACTTCCAACTGCTAGGCAAACACAGGCATTATGTGAAAGGAAATATGCCCACCTATTTTTGTCCTGCTTGGGGATTGAACCAGGGAGAAATTACACAATCTTGTCTAACACTAGATTCAAAATTTTTGCTCTTTCATTCCCATTAATGCTGTTATTAAGGAATTCAGTATATAGAACTTTTGTAGCTACTTGATAGTTCAAAATTTTTGCTCTTTCATTCCCTTTAATGCTGTTATTAAGGAATTCAGTATATAGAACTTTTGTAGCTACTTGATAGATTTAAGACTTTCATTTAGACTCTTGTAGACTTTCTAACTTCATGAATGCTATATGCCTTACGGACTGAACATAAACGTTTAAGCTTGATTTATGACTGGAAATATATAATCAGCACTCTTATTTTTCTTAATACACCTCATTGTTAATGGCTTAAATTTTTTTAAGAGCATACCTATTAAAAATGCAGATAAGCCTTCGGAGCCTGGTCACTTGTAAGGCCTGAGAAGAATGAAAAATTATTAACTTTTAGATAAATTGTATGATGGACACATTTATCTTTCAATACAGTAACAATACAGTGGACTAATTCCAACTTACCTTGATCCCTGTCTACTATATAAACGCTTACAATGAGTTCGTTGTACGTTAATTACGTTCAGTAACGTAATTAATTCCCATGCAAGTCCTTCACCTCATTCTATCTCTGTCTTTGTACAAAGTCTGGTGTAGTGGTAGCACACTTAGCCAGCAAGCGATTTCATTTGGGTTCGAAACCTGGGCAGGGAGGATCGAATACGTGCTAATCTTTAATTGATCAAACATGTCGGAACAGAGGAAGATTGTATACTGCTCTAGGTGGATCTGGAAAATCTGGAGGAATGGTTTTAGAAATGATTGCTTGACTTGAACCCAAGCAAATGTTAGGTGATGAAATTTGGGGGGGGGGTGGGGGGGGAGCACACGATGGGAGGGTATATCTTGAGGTTATCTTGAGATGATTTCGGGGCTTTAGTGTCCCTGAGGCCCGGTCCTCGACCAGGCCTCCACTCCCAGGAAGCAGCCCGTGACAGCTGACTAACACCCAGGTACCTATTTTACTGCTAGGTAACAGGGGCATAGGGTGAAAGAAACTCTGCCCATTGTTTCTCGCCGGCGCCTGGGATCGAACCTGGGACCACAGGATCCCAGTCCAGCGTGCTGTCCGCTCGGCCGACCGGCTCCCTACCCCCCTAAAACAAAACATCTCTAATTTTTTATTTTTTTATTTTGAGAAAACACTAACAATCAATTATCGATAGACATGAAATATTTCGCAATACAAAGGAATTAAGCGATTTTTTGTGACGCATATCAGCCATGCAGCAGCCGGCTTTAAGCCACGGAGCGTCACTAACTTGGAACGCAATTACACACTGGAATTATACACTATTTTGCACACTGCATAAAACTTTTTAGGTATTTTAGTGAGAAAGTTGCACAGCTTCCCAACAAGAGGGAAGTGTACAATTTTTGTTAAATAGTGTTCCATACAGATGTTACTGTACAAGTACAGTACAGTGATTAACTATATTTTTCTGTATTATAAAGCTACTGTGATCTATTGCAAATCAAAGTACCATATACATTTGCGCTATGAACCTTATAACATTTTCGTTATATAAAACATACCTGAATGTTACCTGAAATATTAGTGATATTTCAACAACATCGGATATAACGGAGCCCCGCATGTAACGACCTGGGGTCAGCCCCATATAGGTCGTTAAATCGAGTGCATACGTTCACTCAATCTTTGCACTATTGAGTCGTGTAGTACAGTTGGCTTCGAACTCGACTCACACTCTGGGATTCCAGGTTCGACGCCTGGTTCACCTAATGTCTTTGTTCACCTAGCAATAAATGGGAGTTAAGCAACTGTTGTGGGGTTGCATCCTGGGGAGGTCAGTAGTTCTTTATCGGGGGGGGGGGGGGGAGTCAATACAAGCCTTAAGTATATATGTATACAGGCTTCCTGTCCCAAGCAAAGCCAAATTAATTTTATCATTAGTGACATACAAAGCTAGTGAACATTCATGTAGTCTGTTGACCAGACCACACACTAGAAAGTGAAGGTGACGACGACGTTTCGGTCGTCCTGGACCATTCTCAAGTCGATTGTCATTCTCACAATCGACTCGAGAATGGTCCAGGACGGACCGAAACGTCGTCGTCCCTTTACTTTCTAGTGTGCGGTTTGGTCAACATATTTCAGCCACGTTGTGACTCCTCGTCTTCATGTAGCCTCCAGGCCCCTGGGCAAGGAAGCTCTTAGGACATTGTACACTGCCCTGTGTTAGGATACTAGGTGTTTTGGTGTGGAATCCCCACTTCAAAAAACCCCATAACCAAACCTAGAAAAGTCCAAGCTCAAGGGGTTTGCTGCTAGGCATGGCTCCTGAACCTAATGAGCCAAGCTACTAGGAAAGGCTGAGAGAACTAGATCTTACTACACAGCAAAAGAGAAGGGCAAGAGGTAACGTAATTGATGTGCAAGAAACTTAAGCATTGCCCAAGGGGAGAAAACCAAAGTGTTGAAAAAGAACGGTCGACAGGACAAGAGGGGAAACTTGTATAACGCGTACGGCTGCAAGAAAACTCTTCAGTGAAAGAGTAGTAATTGGAATGTCTTGAAAGGAAATGCAGTTCAGACGTACTCTATCCATATTATCAAAAGTAGGAATGATAAGCACAAGGGTCGGGAGTCACAGCAATAGGTAATAGACAATCAAAGGCATGCCTAGAAGAGGCAGCTCGACTTGAAAGCTCTCAGAGATGGGTACATATAGGTGGGAGAAACATACACTCATATACAACTTTAAGTCTGATCAAAACGTGAGAATTGAATTTTTGCATTAAACTGAAAAAGGTTCTGAAGCCGAAGCGCGAGTACATCTAGGTGAATAAACACTGTCTGCCCTTTCCTCTCTCCCCTCTTCTCTCTCTCCCTCCCTCCCTTTGCATCTCTCTCTCTCTCTCCTTTTCCCTCTCTCAAGCACACGCTCACAAGAACACACTAACCACCCCCGCAACACAGCAACAAATCGCCCGCTCCTGCAACTTATGTGTTTGCTTCCTGCGGGATAAGTGATGCCACGTTTGAAAGTTCGTTCATGTTACTAATGGATAGATTTTTCTCCCAGTTGGAACATAGTTTAAAACACTCACGGAACTTGGAGTTATGACATTACTGACTCCGCCGTCGTTCATCCTGTGGCAGCCGCTGGTAATCTTGCCAGCCAATAGGAGCCCAGTAGAGAGTTGAATAGCGTAAGCTCTATTCTTTCCAGATGTGGTTTATTATATCAATAAACTTAATTGAAAGGGACCCACATGAATTATAGCAGGTCGCAAGGCTCAGTTGACGAACGTTCGTCACCCGTCCAAGAAGAGGCCAGACCTGCCAACCAACGAGCTCCTCCACAGTCAAAGAATAACAATCTTAAACCTAACTCTTCTGATGGCTGTAAACTAAGAGTATCTAAGAGGATTTTCTTTGTTCAAATTCACTTTAATGTCGTCGATAACATGTAACTATATATATGTAAAGACTCCGATTTATTCAAAGTTCAAAAGCAAA